CCATGTTATCTAGACACTGATTTGTTTCCACATTTCGTATCTCTCCCAAAGAGAAATAGTGACGTGGAATCTGAGAATTGGGATAAATATTCTATAGGTACCAAGAGAAAGGTCTGCATTGGAGTTTGTGTCTTAGACCAAGTCTTGATGATATATCTCCATAATCTACCTTTGTAACACCTGGAGAAATTATATAGAAGAAATTCTTGAATTCATCCATCCACACTTCTGCAAGTCGTCTGTTATTTTTATTGATAATCTGCCCTGTGCCTCCTGGAAACGTGTAAGGTGTAGCTTTCTGAAACACATGTCCAACATGTGAGCAAGTAACAATCTCCAAAGTTCCTCCACACTGCCAAATCCTAAAGGAAATTTCTAGGTTTTCTCCTCCCCAAATATCCATTCCAGCATCATATGTTCCAATTTCCTGAAAGTAATCTCTGTCTATTGAAAAAAGGCCTCCTGCCATTGTAGGTGTTCTCACAGGAAGAGTTTGATCACCTTTCCTTTTGTCCATTTCTCTTTGGGGAACAGGATACCAGCGAAAATTAAGCTTCCAGTTGAATCCACCATAGGTCATGTCAGAACTTGCCATGTACTCAAAAGTATCATCACTGATCACATCAGTGGTAGGAGAGACCACTGTCTTCCTGTCATGTTTGATCCTGGCTAAGAGAGGCTCCAGCCACCCCACTGTACATTCACAGTGAGCATCTAAAAAGGTGATCACTTGGCCTTTAGACACTGCAGCTCCTTTTAACCTAGCTCTGATCAATCCAGAACGTTGCTCCATTCGAATTACATGAACTGGTACTTTTAATTTTTTCACATAAGTCTCTAGAGGTCTTTTCAAAAAGTCTCTTTCAGGCTTCCCTGGTGGCGCAGTGGTTGAGAGTACGCCTGCCGATGCAGGGGACACGGGTTCGTCCCACATGCCGCAGAGCGGCTGGGCCCGTGAGCCATGGCCACTGAGCCTGCGCGTCCGGAGCCTGTGCTCCGCAACGGGAGAGGCCACAAGAGTGAGAGGCCCGCATACAGCAAAACATTAAAATGTAAAATTTACCTCTTTCACTGGCATCATCTACTAGAACAATTTCTTCTAGCATGTGTCTTGGTGAGCGATTAATGACACTATGGACAGTTCGCAGAAGTGTTCTCCAAGCCTCATTATGGAAAACAATCACCACACTTGTTGTAGGAAGATTATCTGGATACACCTTTGTTTTCCACCCTTCTAACCTAACATCTGGTAAAGATCTGTTGAGTGCAATCATCTAACTTGCCATTAAATTGAACTGATTGATTTTAACATCTCTTTCATCTTTTCTTGATCCTCTTTAGGAATGACAACTGGTTTCCCCATTTCTCCAGGACCTTCATGAGGCTTTTGTACTGGCTCTAGAACATCCCCAGCAGGAAGTCCTCTCTCTTTTTTTTCATCACATTTGTTGCATTCACTGAAGTAAAGCAGCAGGAACATATCCAAGAATACCCAAATCAAGGAGGTGGCTAGGACCACCTTGCAATATGCAAATTTTCTCATGGCACTTTAAGTCAAATGCAAAATTAAAAAAAATATATATATATAAATATACAAAGATCATGAAAATTATTCCAATCCAGTTTCATCAGAAATCACGTTCACAACCCCAAAGTGGTTTTTCAAATGAATTCATATCCCAAATCCACATGTCCCAGGCGGTGGCGGCGGCGGCGGCGGCGGCGGCGGCGGCAGCGGAGGGCGCTCCTCGGGGCCGGCCCGGGGCGGTCGCGGTGCGGTCCCGCGGGCCGCAGCGCGGGCGCTACTCTCGGGCCGCCGTCCGCCGCGCCTTTTATTTTTTTTTTTGAGTCATGCTGCATGGCTTGCAGGATCTCAGTTCCCTGACCGGTGATTGAACCAGGCCACGGCAGTGGAAGGCCGGAATCCTAACCACTAGACCACCAGGAAACTATCATCACTTTCTTCTGCTGGCAGTGCTCACTCCCGCCCTCCCTGACACAAACACTACTCATCCTTCCGAGATATATCTGAACAGTTCTCAGAAATCTCTCAGATCAGAGCCCTCCTAAATTCTCTACAGATCTTTGCATATTGCACTGCTAAAACTTATAATTTTTATTAAAAACTGTGATCTGTTGTCTAATATCACCCCTTTTCCTGCTCCCAGAATGTAAACTACGGGGACAGCAAGACCTGCTAGTGGGAATGTGCAGAGCTTGAACTAGGGTGACGATCCAGGAAAGGGGAAAGAAGCAAAGACGGAGATCATGGAATCATCAGATCAGTTCCGTCTACCATTCCCACCCAGTCCCCTTCCTGGCTCTCTGGGAGTCCTTTTCTCATTGATCAGCAAGTCCTCCCCTGTGTTATTCTTGGCAAGCCTCAGAGAATAACTCCAACCAGCTTTGGTTCTTGTCCTGGGAGCCCCTCAGGGAAGCAGGGCTTTTCAGTCAGCATAGTGCTGAGAGAATCCAAGAGCAAGGTTGGCAGGGCTTGGACTGGGGTGTACACATTTGGGTGCAATTAGAATCATCTGGAAGACTGTCATGCCTTCATCTTAGAGCAAATCAGCCCAGTAACTGCACCATGAGCTAACTGCACTGCTAAAGCAAGATTCAAAGACAAGGCAAGGGCCTTGTCTTTTATCTTCACCACCACTCCTCCTGAGCAGTTTGACAACGTCTAGATCAATGGTGTTTATTGAAAAATAAGACGAAGGAACTCCGAATAAATGATTACTATGGAAACATTAAAGGGGAGCAAACAGCAAGAGGTAGCAAAAAAAAAAAAAAAAAAAAAAAAAGAGGCAGTGGAACCCATGCTTACAAGAGCTGGAAAGAGCATGGGAGGTAATACTGCCCACGGTAGGATTCCATAATTGTTCCTTCTGGTTGTGCTGGGGACTGTGCTTGTTACTTTGGAAGACAGTAATTCCAACCAAAATGGGGATCAGACTCCTGAAACTATTACAATGCCTCAAGGAGAGGATGGGATAGAGCTAAGGTTTTGACCAGTGAATTCGACTAAGGGAAAAAGTAAATCAAAGGGCTAAATGGCAGACTCAAGGGTCAGGAACCAGGGAAAGGACTCTTCAACAACAGACTTACCATCAGGAAATCCATGAACGTTTGTAAGCTGTCTAGGGAGGTGTAAACCAGGTCCAGAGCCGCTCTTGCCCAGTCTCAGCCTGCTCTGCAGTCAAGGGAATAAGCCAGGCCACCTACTTTTATAGCACTTAGACTGTTCTGGATTCAGTCTATAGGGAATGTTAAATTGCCTCCACAGGTACCATGTCAGAAACTCACCTTTTGAGAGTTGAAGTCTTTATTTTCCCAAACCACAACTTTAAAATACTTAAATGACGTGAACAGAAGGGGATGCAGCCACGGACAGTCTTCCAAGATTGTATGCCTGGTCTCCTCCCCAAACTAATCTCACACCTTAAATGTCCATTTAAATGAGATATAGTGTTAGATTGACACACATCTATTTGAAATCAACATTTATCCCTTCAGACTTAAATAAATCCTATCCCACACCCACAACTCTTTAAGTACTACTGAACTTTCCAAATCCTTTCCATCACTTTTCTCTAGATGAACAGAGCTCAAAGGGAGTTGAAGAGTTCACTCACTGAGATCTACAATTAATTGGGCTGAAAAGCCCAATCAGGGGGCTCCTCCCCTTTAAAAAACTAAGGGCCTTGCAAAATGGTAACAAGTGATTCCCAGCCCTGCTTGGGTATTACCATCTCTTTGAGCTTTTGCTTTGCCTGGGCCTCAACTAAAGAATTCAGGGCATTCCCTGGTAGTCCAGTGGTTAGGACTCTGCAGTTCCACTGCAGGTCTGGGTTCAAGCCCTGGTTGGGAAACTAAGATCACACAAGCCACAGGGTATGGCCAAAAAAGGATTCAGACACCCAAGTTACAAGCTTTTAGCAGCTCTGGAGTCCAAGTATGCAACAAGGCTTGAGAGTCACTGCTAGAGCCCAATTTATTGCTACCTCCAAAATCATCACTACCATCTCCACCATATTCCACTTTCCACCTGTTTCCAGCAACATTACATCAGAATAAACTGTAGGTTTACATTCCCAGCCTTCCATTTAAAAATTCAGATTTTCTATTACGGCACATTATTTTAAACCGTCCCCTTTTGTAGGGTGTAAAGCCCCCAAAATTCCAGAAACCAGACATCTCATATTTCTCAACTGTAGAGCCCTTCTGTCTATACAGCGTGAGAAGGGGTTAGACTTGCAGCAATTTTTTTTTTTTTTGCGGTACGCGGGCCTCTCACTGTTGTGGCCTCTCCCGTTGCGGAGCACAGGCTCTGGACGCGCAGGCTCAGGGGCCATGGCTCACGGGCCCAGCCGCTCCTGGACCGGGGCACGGACTCGTGTCCCCTGCATTGGCAGGCAGACTCTCAACCACTGTGCCACCAGGGAAGCCCTGGAAATGAGTTTTTGATTTCATTTTGGTAAGGATCACTGGAATTCTCTGAACTGGCACTGTATTAACCAACTTTGCAGAGCTATGTACATGTGCAACTTGCGCCAAAGCTGCAAATTATAAAAGTAGGCACAACTGCCTTTTTAAGGCAGATGCCCAATGCAAGAAGTACCTACTGTTGGCTACCTCCCATCCCTTTCACATCTTGCTAAGTGTCCAGGAAACAATCCACATATCCAGAACCAGAGGAAAACTTGAGCCTATTCCAAATCTTGGGTTTGAAACTCTTGGTTAAGATATGAATGAGCCAGAGAATTTTGTTTTCTTCATCTAAAACCAGAGCAAATTGCAAACTTTAAGGTTATTTTGGGGGATTCACTTTACAAAGGGCAGATGCACTTTTATCACTACAGCAACAGCCTACTGGTTTATTTAAAACAGGATGGTCCTTTTTCCTCACCTCAGGAGTACTTTCCTCAAAATCTCAATTGTATCACATTCATTTTGAAGCACTAGAAAAAGAAATGTCATTAAAGTAATAAACTCAAAACTTGAATAATATTTTCTTTATTTACAAGTTAGAATCAACAGACAAAGAAAAGACAATCCAAGGGACCAAATGGGGAGATGACTGAAACCCCCAGGGGCCCCAAATGGAGAAGCAAAAGGGAAAACAGTAGAAAAAAAAAGTCAACGTAAAAAAAGAACGCCTTCTTCCCTCCCCATGGAGGCTGAGGGGACCATGGCCCCACCCTGCCTCGGCCTTACCTAGCTTAAAATAAATTAGAACAACCTCCCTCAAAACAGGGCCCTTACAAGTGAACAGGGCAGCTACGGCCTCAGGTAACCCTGTATCAGGGCCTTTGCCCATTCCCACCCTTTACCCCTGCCCCACCACAGTCATTTTGAATAGGGGCTCTATGCCTAAGAGGTCACTCTCCATGGGGCTGGGAACGCAGTTGTATTTTGTCCATTTATGTCCCTCCTTCAGTAATTGTCCCTGCATTCCTCCCCCCTGCAGAGCCAGCTCTCCTACAGTGGGGGGAGGGGGTGAGATGAGGAAGTGTCACAGCAAAGGGAGAGTAGAGGTGGGGCAAGGTGGTCTAGGGGTCCGGTCCTGCGGAGCCTCCTGCCCCATCTGGCCTGGCCCCTTAGCCTGAGTCTGAATCACTGGTGTCTGAAGAAGAGGAAGATGAAGAAGAGGAGCTGGAATCCGAGCTGGAGCTGGAAGCACTGAGGCGGGACACTGCTACCTGCTGTGCCGATGACGTCTCCGTTTTTTCACTCGCTGCAGAACAAAGTTGAAGTTTAAAGGTTATTCCCGTCTGATTTCCATTTTTCAAGAGTCAAGAGGGCAGGATGTAGTGAATTCACAGTGGCTTACTGAACACTCACCTTTCTTGGGGGGCTTTTTGGTAGAATTGAGCTGCCCACTAACATCTTGTAACCGCTTTTCTAGTTCCCGCTTCTTCTCCAAAGCCAGTTCCTCCTTTGTCTTTCCCACAGGTTTCTTAATAGCTAGAAAAAGAAATATACCAGGATTAAGATAGCCAGAAGCACCCTAGCTTCTCTGTCCCCTATTGCTGCCAAATTCCTTTCTTGAACATTGGGAAGCAACTAATCCAACCCTTATCATCCCAGGAGCTGATGATCTCAAGTCCATCGAGCGTATGCCTACTATCCTTCTTTCACTGTCCTCAGAACTTCGCGAGGACTTGCTGAGTTAACTGAGTTAACTCTGCCCCTCTAGATGCAACAAATCCTCCTCAGAACCTCACGAGGATTTGCTGAGTTAACTGGTGGGCCTCATTTCATACTCACTATAGGGCTTCCGAGGTTTCTTTCGTAGGCAGGAAAGGACATAGCGTTCAAGCTCTCTAAGTGTGGATGGCTTGAGCGTTTCAAAATCAATCTCAATTTCTTCTGGGTTTGAGTCACGTAAAGAGGGCTCCCTGGCTTGAATTATGTGTACAACTCGACCCAGTTTCTCCCCGGGCAACTTGTTGATGTCCAGGCTCAACTGCCGCTTCTCGTCGTAACTCATGGGCCTGCTTTCTTCCTCTTCCTCTGAATCATAGCCTGCAGGCAGGGCAGGTGGGGCTGTCTTTGTGGCCTTTTTGGGGAGTCTACGGGCAAAAGAAAATTGTCAATTGTGGGACATTCTCACTATTCAACCCAGTGACCTGGATTTCATGCCTGAAAAACTGTTTTCCATTAAGGCAAATGAGTGGGCTACTAGACACTGTATCAGGGGAGCACAGCTTCTTTACATGCCAAACACTTTTATTAATCTCGGACTTTGAGAACTAAATATAAGTACACTGCCACAGGTCCACTTTTTTTTGCTCCCTAAAGCACTAACCCACCCCCGACCACAGAAGAAAACACGAAAAACCAGATTCACTGGTTTAGAGAAGGGGTAGGCAGACTACACTGTCAAAGTTAAGCAGCTTTGAGAGACTACAGTCTTCAAAAGTCGACTTCATCCCCTGGCCACCTGCAGAAAAAATTCGCTGGACCCTGATTTAGAGAAACCTTTGCAAGGAGTGGGAGAAATCATCCTCCCCGGAAAGATCCGAGACATAACTGAGCTGTCTCTGCTTCCATGTTAGATAGTACTCACTTGGTGCTACTTCCTGCAGAAGGTCCAAAGCCAGGAGGGCCTAGGGTAGCAACGCTGCCAGCCCCACTGCCACTCGCTTTCTTGGACTTCTTGGGCTGAGATGGGCGAGGTGCCCGAGGCCCTTTGTCATCTTCCTCAACCCCGGCTCGGCCTCGATGCTTCTCTGCCTTCCGTTTCTTCTTTTTCTCTTTTTTTTCTCTCTTTCGCTTGGGCTTGGATATTGGGCCTTGGGACAGGGCAGCCAGTTGTTCATGTACTGCTCGAAGCTAAAGAGGAAAAAGAATCATGTGAAACGGAAAAAATAAATAGGTAAAGCAATAAAGACTAAATGAAAAAAAATTTAGGGCCAAGACAGTGCACGAACCTCACCCAGTAAACTGAACAGTGACAAATTAAAATAATACCTGTTCCTGTAGTTCAGCCAAGCGATGAGCCCTTTCTTCCTCGGAGTCGGAGCTTTCACTCTCTTCTTCCTCTTCTTCATCCTCCTCATCTTCCTCCTCCTCATCCTCAGAAGAGCTCTCACTGCTACTTTCCTCGCTGGAGGACTCTGAAGATGATTTGGCCAAGCCAGGGGGCAAGGCAGTAGAGACTGGTAAAGGCCCTGGTTCCAGTGGTTCATCTGGCATCTTGGCATAACGGAACTCAAATACATCCTAGAGAGAGACAGCAGACTCAAAACCATGCTAGTGGATATGCCCTGATCATACCCAGCCATACGGCAGCTCCAATTTACAACTGTAGAGACTGGGAGAGCCCCATGTTGAGGTTGTGCACCACAGACAGCAAAATTTCTCTCCCCAGACCCATTTATTCTTCCAACTCCGACCTTGACACTCACCTGTAACTTTCGTGCCATGGCCACAACATCATGGTCTGGGGGATTGTACTTATAGCAGTTGGAGAACATAAGCCGCACGTCAGCAGCAAACTCCTGTGCATCCCGGTAATCACGATTCTCCATCTTCCGCTGCAGAAGGAGGCAGCATCAGAAGCTGCACAGGCAGGAAGACTCACCTTTCCCTGCCAGCTCCAGACACCGCAAGGCTAGCCCTCTCGAGAGCACGGGGGCGGGGCAGGGGTAGCCTTAAGGATCTATGCCCTGGGGCTCAAGTTTGAAGTCAAAGGAATTTGGGTGGGTTGAAGAAATATCTATGTCTAGGAAAAAAAATCATTTCTAGTGAAAAGAGAGGGTGGGTGGCCTCTGACTAACCAGCCATCCCTTAACTTTTCTATCCTAACCCAACATTCCCAATAGGTAGGACCTAATTGTAGATGAGTAGCGATGCTCTGAACACAAAACCCACCACACTGTCTCAAACTCCAGAAAATATGGACTCCTAACAAGTCCTTGACCTTCTGCCCCATTACTATTTTGCAAAAATAAAATGCCAAGACTGCTGTGTGCCCGGAAAAAGTGACTGTTTTATTGATCCCTAGGCTCCAATCACTGCCTGAGTATCCCATCTGCCCCATGCAGTGGGTACCTTGACAGTGCTGAGGTCCATGGGGTGCTTAATGATGTCATGGTAGTCATGCAGGCCAAGAGCGGAAGCGTCCACTGGTTTATAAAAAGGCCAGGCATAGGCAGCATGCTTCTTAGAGAGTAATTCCTTCAAAATGCCATTGCAGTGTTTTAACTGTTCCGACAGCTTTCCTTTCTTGGAGCTTTGGTGCTGTTGCTGAGAGTCAGGCAAGTCTTTGCGTGGGGGCTTGATAGGGCGGCCACTCTCTCTACGCATAGGGGGAAGCCGTGCTGCCTTAGGCTCAAGACCCCCGGGAGGGCTAGCTGGGGAGCCAGGAGCCAGGATAGCTGTAGGTGTAGGGGTGGTAGTATCTGCTTTCCGCTTTACCCCTTTTTTCTGCAGAGAAAAACAAGACAGGAGCCTTTTACCCTGGGTCCACTCCATTCAAGACCTTTCCCTCCTCATTATCCCAAAGATATCCACAGATGTATACCTTGGCAAGGGGCTGGGCTGGGGGAGCTGCAGAGACAGCAAGGAGCGGGGGTCCAGCGGAGTGCAAGGACTTGAGAAGGGGCGAAGAGATGACCGATGGGTGGGGAATGTTGAGGACAGTGGTAGGTATCTCAGGTGGTGGAGTATACAGGGCTGTGTGAGACACAGAAGAGACAGCAGGCACCTGATGGGCACTGGTGATACTGCCCTGGAGTGCTGGGGTGGGGGGAGAGAAAAAAAGTTTAGTCTGATTATCTTTCCCATCTTTTGGTCTTCATTAGCAAAACTCCTTCTCTTCCTACCTGCCAATTTGGCCCCTTTCTTGTGGCTGTTCTTAGGGATAGTCACCACAAGCTCTTGTTCCTCTTGTGGCATTGACGCCACCTTCTGTAGAAAGATCTTTTCCAGCGTTTGTGCCATCAGGACAATATCATCAGTAGGCTACAGGAAACACAAAGAAAAAGTTCAAATGCCAGCAAAAGACAAGCAAAACCATTTTTCTCTGAGGAATTCCTAGCCCCAGGCATCACCACCACCCCCCCTTACACAACTTCACCATCAAGTACTGAAAATCACCTGTATTGGGCCATTAAATTCCCTTTTCTTTTCCAACTCTGCCCCTCAAGATGCAACAAAGAAATAAAAGTTCAGAAATAAGAGAATGAGAGCTGATTAAAAAAAAAATAGTTCCTGCTCTACTCAGATCTCTGGAGATTTCTCTGAAAAACAGGGCCACTATCCACAAGAATAAAAAGTGTTCTATTTAAACATCTCTTAACGCTGGATCTCTGAGACCACATCACTGCTTTCAGTGGTACCTTTTGGAACTCAGACTTTCTAGGATCCTGACTACTGAGAACACCTACAGTAAAACACTTAAAACTTTCATTGATAAAGTAGTGATAAAAAATGCACTGTCTGTCCCCAACTACTAATAACACAAAAACACTCACCTTGTTGTAGATATAACAGTTGGTGAACATGGTATTAAAATCCTGCATACACTCTGAGGCAGCCCAGTAATAGTTGTTTTCAAGTCTCCTCTTAATAGTACCCATATCCATAGGCTGCTTTATAATTTTGTGATAATCCTAAAAAAAGAAATGGTAGGTCAGAGCTACAGAAAGATAAAACTCCTGTTCTCCTAAGCAAACTACCGACCCCAACACACACGCACATACACACCCCCTATGAGTCAAGAATACAAAGTCTCCTAAACTGCGGCCCCAATTAAATCTATGGGATAGGAAAAAAATGGAACAGGATTCTTATCACCCATAGGGAGGCCCCTACTGCCTTTCTCTAACCACCCACCTCCCACCCACTCTGGAAAAGCTTCCCATCCTGTGACATTACCTCTGGGGCTGGCTATCCATGGGCTGCATGAGGGAGAGGAAGAAGCTAAGAATTTTGGCCACCGTGGTCCTCTCCCAACCTGGGGTGGGAATCTGTAAAATGGAGCCAGGGCACAAAAGTTAAGGAAGGACACATGGAGGGCACAATGAGAGATGCTAAGATAGCAAGCGGTTGGATCAAACACAAAGGACCAAGAATCCAGAAATCTGGTGGCTATCTGCCCTACAGGGTAGAAACAGGAACTCCTAGGGGCCGCAGCAGCTATACTACACAGCCCACCTCCACACACACACATTCTTGTTCATTTCCATACCTCCCCACTCCAATCTCTACTCACCGGCAGACCCAGTTTGACAGCATCCACAGGCTGCCGGAAGGGCCATGCAAACTGATGTTTCCACAGAGCCTTCATCACCACCTTGTGCAGGTATTGCAACTGGTTGGTAACCCGTCCTGGCTTTTTGGGATTGGACACCTCCGGGGGTGGTGGGTTGGCAGGGGTTAGTTGCAAAGCCGGCACTGAAGCCATTGTGGGGCTCTCGAATCCCTCATACAACAGGGAGGGCTTTCGAATCCTTTTCCCAGGCGCTGCTGCCTCTGGGCCCAGTCCCAGTAACCCTGCATTCCCCTCCCCAGGGAGCCTGTGAAGACAAGGAACAAAACCATATGTGATAATCTTGTGGAACTTGGGAGAGTACAATTTACACTAATTTACACTACGTACCCTCAATAAATCCAGGCTTGAAATCTAGTGAAAGGTGGTCAAGATTATGAAAATGAAAACAGTATCCAAACAATCCACGGAGCTTTTGTTCTTGTACTTCCTACCACCTCTTCTGTTCTTAGTCCTACATTCTGAATTCTCAAGTCTGATGGACTCTTTCATCTGTTTTTAAAATTTAAAGTGAAAAAGCCCAAGGTAATTTCTCACAGGGCACAGCCATTTGAGAATCACAGCCTTATTGGGATGGGACTTAAGCAAAATGGGTGGAGCCGAGAAACTCAAGCCCCAAGCTTCCTCCTCACTAGGGACTTGGTGGTTGCCATGGTGGTTGAGCCTGAGGGAAGCGGGTGAAAAGGAAACAAAATAGAAAAATTTCATAAAATGCTAATTAAACACTTAAGAATCCACCTGTGCAGAAGGAATCAGCATCCTCCACAAGCTCTGGATAGTTAACTCGAAATAGACCAGACATCTAACGGAAAACCCTATCAACTCAAAAAAAGAAAAAATCAGACAAGGGAGCATTTGTCACACTTCACAGCCTGGAATACCCCAAGCTACCATCCTCCAGAAATTATTCACAAATTCGTCTCCTCCCTCTGAAGAATTCAAAAAATAGAGCTGTCCGAACAGTCAAGGTTAGCGAGTTCCCTCAGAAAAGTGATACAGACCTCCCCTGCAACCCCTAACAAAAACTGCGATGCCGTTAACAGTTCCCATTGCAGCATCAACTCTGAAGATCAAAGGCCAATAATGCACCAAGTATGCATTCTCTCTGGTGCTCCTCGAGACCAGATGCTTCCCAAGGCCCAAGACTAAAGACGTTATACCGAAATCTCATTGTTTACATCCGCAGAGCTGGACTAGAGGATCCTTAGCTCCACCCTCCTATCCTGAATGAAACTCCCAATTGTATCACAAAAACAAAAACAAAAACACACAGCAAAAAACCCAATCCTCTGCAACAAGACACAACTCTCAACACAAAGCCGCACCAGTCAACGAAAGACTAGCAGGAACTTAATGACCTACCCGACATTAGGAAAGAGTGATCCTTCTACCCTACTCAGGAAATCTCCGTTTCCAGTCCTCGAGCTCTATCACCATGGCAACCCTGTAAAGCACAAGATATGGCCACGAACCCACTCCCCCAAAAGGCCTGACAAACCGTCACTAGACACCAAACCCACTACTCGCAGGACCTGCTCCCCAATCAGTGTCCTTCCCCATTACATTCTGCCGCCACCTCCCTCTGCCCGACTCGGGTAAGATCTAACCACAGAGGAAAAAACAACGTATAAACTGACAACCTGTGCTCCCTCCATATTCAGGATCTGGGCCACTGCCTCAGTCCCAGACCGCCGCTCAACCCCCTGCGCGAGCCCGGCGAGCCAACAGTTGCGCCACGGAACAACAACGCGCCCCACTCGGTTCCGCACTCCCTCCGAGCCCGACGCCCCACACCCGCGCGCTGCAACTCGCGAACGCCCCCTTCCCACACGCCGTTCGCGGGGACGTACTTGTTGTGGGGAGTCACGTTTTGCAGCATCTTGACCACGGGGAACCGGCGCTGCCCTCAGCCGCGGAAAGTCCGGGTGGCCTCGGTTCCCCTTACCTTCCAGTCCAGCATAACCCGGGAAGTGGGGGGGGTCGGGGGCCGCTGCCCTCGGCCCTCCAGGCGACAACCGCCCCCCCCCCGCCGGGCCGGAACGAGAGCAGTCTCCTCCGCTGTTTCTCGGAGAACTCCCGGCAGCTTGGCGCGCTCCGCAGGAGGCGGACAGCGAGAAAATGGCGGCGGCCCCAGCTGAGGCGGGCGAGCGAAGGGGGACGGACTCTTCAAACCCCAGGACAGTCCCCGATCCCAGACACCGTCGTCAATATTGCCCGCCGTTGGTCTGCAAGGATCCCCTCTTCCTGCCAGGACCGTCCGGCGCGGACGAGGTCCCGTTTCGATCTCGGATGGAGGCGGATGAACACGAAAAGTGGTTTAGGGAGCCGCCGCCTCCATCTTTGAAATCCTCTTGAGGGCGGAGTAGAGGGGGTGGACAGACTCCGAGGACTTGGGCGGGGCTCGAAAAAGGGGAGCTTCGGGGGCTTCTATGGGGTCTGTACTGTCCGCCGGGACCGGTCATAGGCCGAGACGAAGGCCATTTCCAAGCGGATGGACGTGGATTGTAATGGCGGCCCCGGACGACTCGAAGGCTCTGTATAAGTAGGCAGAATCCTCCAGCTCGTTCTAGAGGCTGCTCCACTCCAGCGCGAAATGGCGCCGCCGAGCCCCGCGCCAGCCCTTTATATATAGGCAGGGGGGCGGAGCTCCGCCGCTCATGCGCGCCACCGCGCTCGCGACTTCCCCCACCCCCTCCGCGCGCTCGCGCTCGCTCACGCGCGTGAAGAAGCGCAGTCGAAGGGGGCGGAACACCTCTCCGCGGGAGCGTTTTCTATTGGTCGGCGGATGCGATGACGTCATAAGCCTCATTTCCAACGCGTTAGTCACCAGGCAGAATGCCGCATAGACCCACAGGGAAGCGGCAACCAGCCACATCTCCGAGCCAAT